GGGAAGCGGCTGCGCGAGGGCCGGAGGAGGGAGGGAGCAGGGCAGGATCAGGCTTTCCTTTCCCGCTCGGATTCCGCCGATTCCCAGAACTCCCTTTGGGCTGGAGGAGGGAGGAATCCGGGCAGGATCAGGCTCTCCTTTCCCGCTCGGATTCCGCCGATTCCCAGAACTCCCTTTGGGCTGGAGGAGGGAGGAATCCGTGCAGAATTGAGCGGGAAGGCAGCGCTCGGCCTCCGCTCATTCCCAAAATTCCCTCAGCTCTTATTGGCATTTCTAAAGCTTAAAAAGCCAGAGGAGATGCCGGAAAAAGGGAGACGGGAAGGGAGGAGCGCGGGATCCACCAGGGCCGGGATGGGCTGGGAAGGTTCCCGGAGCCGCGTCGGGATGAGCCGCTCGGCTGCAGGGAGAGCCGGAGCCTTTTTAGGAGCGAGGAAAGCGCCAAAACCGGCTCAAATCCCATTTGTTATTCCCCGCCTCCTCCGAGGAGGACACAAACACACCCAAAGCCCTTGGGAATTCCCTCCCGGGAGCCGGAGAGCCGGGCTCCGCCGGGATATTTCGGCAAATCGGTACCAGGAGGAACTCAGTGCGTTGCTTTTTCCCCAAAAAACATTTCCCTTCAGTTCCGGCTGCCAAGGCGGATTTGGCGCTGGCCGCGTCGCGGTTGCTCAATCCCCTCTCGCGAGAAACAGGCGGCGGCGGCGGCGCAGGCGGCGCCGGGGGTTGTTTTCGCGGCGCTGTTTTGCGGCTGTTGCTGCAGCCCGCGCTGGCGGGCGCCGTCGTCCTGGTTTTCCTCCGCCCGGGGCCCCTTCCCCAGCGGGATCCTGCGGGGAGGCCCCGGGGCTCCGGGCGCTTGTCCTGGACACCAGGAGGAGGAGGAGGAGGAGGAGGAAGGGGCGTCGGAGCCGGCGGCTCTGCCCTTGGAGGCGGAGCGGGGAGGCCGCTCCGGAGCCCTCCTCTCCCGGGTCATTTTCCTCCCTTCCCAGCGCCGCGGGGGCCACGGCCCCATGTCCTGGGTGCCAGTTCTGCTTCCCAGCCGCCTTTTTAACATCCCTAGGGAAAAAAAATCGGGAAAAAACCTTTGGGGGGCTCCCGACCCCCCTTTGGAGGCTCCTAACCCCACTTAGGGGCTCCCGATCCCCCTTTGGAGGCTCCCGATCCCCCTTTGGAGGCTCCCAACACCCTTTGGAGGCTCCTAATGCCCCTTTGGAGGCTCCTAACCCCACTTAGGGGCTCCCGACCCCCCTTTGGAGGCTCCCAACCCCCTTTGGAGGCTCCCCACCCCCCTTGGGGGCTCCCGAACCC